TCTTCTTGAAACCTACGTAATACACTACAATGCCAATTTGAATAGAGTTTAGTCCAGAATAGGATGGATTGCCCCGTGATTAACATGGTTTTATTTTTTTAATTATATCTATAAGTCCCAAAATTCAATGTTTATGAACTCATATAGCTCTCGTATATATTTTATAAGTCGAATTTTTGTCGCATTTTTCCAACCTCATATTTAGATGGATACGGTTTAATTGAGAGACTAAATCTGAAGATGATGAAGAAGTATTTGCAATGTACCAACATGAGCCTATTCAATCATAATCAAGGTTAAGATTTAAAGTGTAGATATCATCTCAATTTTATAGAAATGTCAGATATAAATATTGATAAAAATGTCAACGTGAATGAATATTTCTAAAAAAATTTATACAAATAATAGATAAACATTTAGTTGTTTTCAAATAAAGCTAAAAATTATTAATCTTAATAATACAACAATAATAGTGATATTTTGTGTATTTTGTCGCACTATATAAACGTGGATTGGTTTCCAATCATGAACCTATTAAATATTGGTATGTTAATGAAAATCTAATACAATTCTAGTTACATAATCATAATTATTAAAATATCGCTAGCGTAGGTCCAAACCTCACAAGAAAAAGTCATCCACAACGCCGTTGTCACGTGTCATTAAATTCTAGCTTATTTCATCAGATATGCATTTATTTATTTTTTTGACAATGAGTTTTTACTATTATTCTGATATTGTTAGTATTAATGCAGAAGGCCATATGCTATTTCTGAGCCATATGAATTTAATTATCTGCTATCATTAATTATCATTTGCTGTTTCAACCAATCTTCATGTCTTTACTCTTGTTGGGACTTTTATAGTTTATCCCGCTACTTTAATACTATTTCTTGTTTTCTACTTCTCGATCGTGTTTGAAAATCAAATCAAATCCTCGGTGTTATTTATTTCTATTGGCCCTTTTATTAAATGAAAATTGACTTATTAATTAGTTTCAGTTTTTTTATTTTTTCCCCCTTAAAACATTGCTTTTTTTTATGGAAATAAGATGTACGTAGTAGATAGATAAAGGAAAACACTAAATAAATACTTTTAGCTAACTGAAAATATGTTTTCAAATGTTTGTATTGTTTAATTTCATAATCAAACGTGAATTTTAAGGGGTGCTTCTACCACTAAGTGCTTATTAAAAAATTGCTTCACTTACCATCTCTTCTCCGTTGGTTGGATGAATTGTGATATGGCTGGGCCGTCTCAACCTGGCCCAAACCCCAAAATTATACAATTATGGGCCAGCCTCGCCCCTTACTCAACTAATAGTCTAATACTGCCAATTTCATCATCCCTCTGCTATTTCTCTCGTGTTTTTTTTTTCTTTTTTGGTGAGTAATAGGCTTATACACTTTGGTCCACGCATTGTTGGTAAAAGACACTTTTAAATACGATGTTTCAAGTCTGATTGTTCTTGAGAAAGGGGTTGACCAATAAAATATAGTTAAACAATCCGACACTCAAGTTAGTCTCAATTTAATCTATTTGTCTAAAGAACAACAATCATATTCATGTACCTACATATAGGTCATTTCCATATTTATTAGCATTTGGGAATGAGTCCTATAGATTGTCTACTTTGCACGCGATGTAAATACCAACGTTAATCACAAAATGAACATGAGTGGAGAGTTGAGCCGTTAATCAACAGTCCCGTTACCTTGAGTTTGACCTAGTTAGAATTTCACAAGAGGAAGTTTCACACAGAAGGTATGATGTTTATATTTCACTGTATTATGATGGCACTCAAAGGCTCTATTTATACAAAA